CCTCCCTACAGGTATCTCACCCACATCTGCCTTAACCAGTCCAGGGTCAGGAAACAAGCCCAGTTTCTTCATCACATGCTTGCTGCTCCATCCTCAGGTCTCCTTCTTCTCCATCCAGCTTCCTTCTCTTCTTCTCTTTCTCTGCTTGTCTCCTTTTTCTCTGCTCAGCTCTACCCTCCTTATGGGTGGGGCAAGGAACCTGGAGCTTCCCCTTTTCCTAGGGACCACCCTGTTACACCATCACGTGCATTACTGGGCATTTCGGTCTTGGAACATTACTGCCACCTACTATTATTTAGGAGCACCTATTTCATCATGGCAGGTTAAACTGGATTATGCCTGTGAAGAAAGGAGGGAGATTTTTAAGAATAAGGGTTTAGCCTAGAGGAGATGGGTGGGGTGTATATGGTGGGAGACAGTGAGTGTTGTGGGCAGGGCGGGGGTGTGTAAGGGGCGACCAGCCGGTGTTAAATGGCGGAGATGTGAGTTCTGGATTTTGCATCCAGGGATATTGTATGTTACTCTAGGGTGGAAAGGGTTAAAGATGACACGGACTGAGCCAGGTAGAGCCAAGCTAGATGGGTAGTGTCTCCTTCCCATAAAATCTCTTCCCCTCCAATTGAAAAGGAGCAAACCATAGCCTGTAAATCAGAAAGGTTATCCAGCAGCCCGTCGGTGTTAATTTCCTCTTTGTCAACCCTGAGTTTAGGGTCCACCCCACCCCTCCAACCCCTCCACTGTCCTCCAGGAATCAGGCTAAAGGAACAAAGCCCTGGTTGGGTCAGGGGGGAGTGGAAGAGCAAACCGCACCCGAACGGTGCAAGCAGATGGAGGCAATCTCCAAGAACGCCCAGTTTCTCCGGGTAATGAGTCTCCCGCGAGAAATTCTGGAATGCAGACTGTTCAGATTTTCCACGGGAGGCCGAGCGCACAGCTAGTCCTGGGTGAGCGTTTTGTGTTTTGGGGTGTGTGTGCGTGTGTGTGTGTGTGTGCGTGTGCGTGTGGGGTGTGTGTGGGCGTGTGGGGTGTGTGTGTGTGAAAGTTAATGGAGCTGATTAAATTAAGCACTTACTGTAACAGCCAAGCGCTAAAGGAACGGCCTCTATTTTTTATAATCATGATCATGAATCCGTTAGTTGTAACTGCGGAGAGGGGAGTGTGGGAGGGAGGAAACAGAACACCGGAAAGGTCCTCAGAAGAGGCGGGACGCGGGAATCTCGACTTGGGGAGGGGTGAGGGGTGGGGGAAGAGCCCACACTAGCAGCCAATCCAGGTGTCCCGGGGAGGAAGAGGAGGAGCCAGGGCACCCCCTCGCGGTATCTCTGCTGGGTCCCGCGCTGGGCTGGAACCTGCTCACTTGGCCAGCACACCAGACTCCGCAGCCTGCTCCCCACGCTAGGCTAGGCGACCGCGCCTTCCTCCCGCTGACATGGCTTCAGGTGCCACCACCACCCCGGTGAAGGTGAGATAAGCCGTCCCTGTGGCTACGATCAGCCCTGTCGGGTGCTCTCTTGTTCCCGCCCCGAGGGACCGCGCCTCCGGGCCACGCGCTCCAGCGCGCCCCTGCGACGGTGATGCAGGTCTGGGTACGACACCCGGACGCGAGCTGCTCACCCTGGTGCGGGGAGCGGGAACAATTGCAAACGAGCCTCACTCCCACCTTTGATCTCAGCTACACCCTCCCCACGCTGGGATCGGAGAGGCCAGTTGGAGAGGGGCGGTGGGCGGGGGTTGCGCGTGTCCCTGCCCTTCCCGAGCTCCACTTTTTTATGGGGGAGGCGTCGTGGGACTGGGGTGTGTGCCCGGGAGTGACCCCTGCAGCTAGGGTCCTTCTGGGTCTTCTTGCCCCTGCCAGACTCGCTACCGCTCTGGCGGCTCCTCACCAGCGGCCCACGTGGAGAACTGCGTGCTTGCTCTTTTTTGCTAGCTTCCGGCTGTTTTTCTTCCAAATGTAGACCTTGTTGTGTCCTGAAGTTTTCTCTGGCGACGCAATCCTGTGGGGATTCTGACGCTTGAACAAAACACTGAAAAGGAATACTGGAGTACAGGGCCTCTCCTCGTTAGACATCTCAACCTTTAATCGCTTTGTTTGCAACCTTGAAAGTGAAACCGTTTGTTTATTCCCCGGGTCTCCGAGCCAGGGGTTCAGAGTGCGTGGCCAGAAGAGGGCGCGAGTTGAGGGGTGCAGCGCCAGCTTCCCAGGGGGCTTTTAAACCCTTCTTTTCCTGGTTGGTGTCTCGAAAGAGAAAGTGTAGAATTACAGTGCCTGGGGAAAAAATTGATAATGAAACCTAAAACCTCTTCTGGATTGCTGATGATTGGCTAAGAACTCGGCTAACTTGTTTGACGTGTAGAAATTTTCTGGCATGGGCTGCCCTATCAACTATCTTCTGAGTCCCCCTGTGCGTTCTTTTCTCTCAGGAGAGGGCAAATCTCTGCGGATCTGTGTGTCTTCACCCAGTGATTGGTTTATGAGGGCCTTGCAGCTCTTGAGACTTTTTTTGATGGGTGGGGTGAAGAGTGTTGCTGTGAGGTTTAGATAAGAAATTACTTTTGTTATTTTGAAAAGAATCTTGTATTCCACAAAAAGAAGACAGCCTCTTCTTTCCCAGTCACTCAAGCAAGTCCTTATGGGCAAAGTATGGAGGGTCCATGGTACCCATCTATAATGTGGGGGTTTTACAGGGAGGTTTAGAATTGTCTGTCTGGCACGTGGTTGACCCTCGTTAAGTGGTAGTGCATTCCAAGTGAATGAGCTGGTTGAGATTTGAGCATCTTTTCTCCAGCCGCTAAATTATAGCATAGGTATCATTAACTCACAGGCTTTAGCAAGCAAGCAGGAATTTTTTACATTTTGTGCATTTTTCCGTCTCAGTTGTAATCCCCATGGGCATCCCACGCCATCACCATAGTCCAGTGCATTTCCTCCCCCCATGTTCTTGATCCCATTCCCCCCTCCGCCCGCATAAAAATGTCTCTGGTATATAGCTTAAAGCAGAATCATTTTAATCTGGTTTAATCTTCTGCCAGCCACAGTTTTTCTGTAAAATTAGTGCAGCATTTAAGTGTGGACTGGGCCTGTGATGAAAGCCCTGATGTAAATATTGAATGATGTGCATTTTTGGTCTTGGCGAGCTGCTGAATCTAAAACGGAGAGGTACAGAGAGTGCTAGACTGCCTGCTGATTTCTGTCTTTGTGGCTAGAACAGGTGACAGTTCTGCGGTAGGGAACCCATGATGCCAACAACAAACCTTCTCACTGCCAAGGCAACATTTCTGCATAGAATACACGAGATGCTGGTGTACGAAGCAGAATGGACGCTAAAAAACTACGACCCCCAGTTCGTAGAGTGGTGTGTGTGTATATATATATATATATATATTTTCCCCCATATGAAAAAGAGGCCCGGAAATGTCTGAGCCTAAATAGGGAGAGCTGGGCTCAGAACCTGGCATATACACCAGGCGTTTGAGTTCTGTGTGTGGTCCGGGTGTTGTGTGTGTGGGCGCACAGCCTGAGGAGCAGGTATGGGGGACATGCGGTCCGCTCTGTGCCCTGCGCTCTCCGATGGCTGCCACAAGGGGGCGCCACCTCTACTGGCAGGTAGCACATGTGTTCAGATTCCTAGAACAGTTCATTTGGTCTTTTTGACAGATCATCATTTCAGTCCGAGGTTGGGTCTCTGCCTCTCCTGCCATCTAACTTGAGCCTCAGTCTTCAGCTGGGCTTTGGGGGCGGACCAGCCCACCATGCAGGTATTCTCTACGTGAAAGCAGCCGTGTTTTAAAGTTCACAAGCGTCACACAAGCCCACACTGTGGCCAGCTTAAACCCAGATATCTGATTTACCATTCAAATCTTGTTGTCCTGCCAGAATGCTCTTCAGATATATTTGTCGAGTACTAGCCAGGCGCTGGAGATAAAATGCAAGCTTGTCTATCTTATACAAGCTCCTAGGGGTAGGAGTGAAAGACCCAGAAACAGCAGAAGTAAGTAGGACTTACGCTAACCCCAAAACCACATGAAGACCTGAAAGACTGGGGCTAGGACCGCTAGAACCCAGGCTCTGTCCCCACCATAGTGGGCCGCAAGCTCGGTGTCTTTGTGACCAGAGCATTAGCTGGAGACTTGTCATGAAGAAGTCGGATCTTATTCTAGGTCTTTCGGTAGCCAGTGAAGGCTCTGAGCAGAGGTGTGGCCTCTGATTTACCCTTTCAGGCCTCTGTGGGGAGATCCAGGGTGGCTGTGGAGGTTGTGAAGAGTACAGACGGATGGTTCTTTTCAAGTAGAGCAGAAAGCTGGGTGAAGTGTGGGGAGGGCAGGGAGAAGAACAGGAGTATGGATTTGATCTGGAAGCCCCAAAAGAAGGCTTGCTGGTGGATCTTTACAAGCCAGGAGAGGGGCAGGACATCGGCACTCCTTGGAACAGAGGAGCAGGATGAGTGTAGGATTCCTCCCTCTGCTGCAGGTCCCAGGCCACAGGCACTGGGTGACAGTTGTGGCTGGAGAAGGCCCCCTGATGAAGAGGGGTGTGGGAGTGGGAGGGAGCCCCATGTGGGCAGCCATGGTGTTAACTGTTCGGAGGACCTCAGATAGATTCTGGACAACACAGAGGCCTTTGGCATCTAGGTGGAGGTCATTCTAGAAGCTGTAGCTGTTCAGCTTACTCTGGGGGATGAAAAAAAGAGTTTTGCTAATCATGGTTTCTGTGATGAGAAGGATATGTTTCCAAGCTGTGTGGGTGGTGGGCAGTAAAAACAAAATGGTATTAGGGTGTCCTAGAATCTAGATATGGAGAATGGATCTTATAAGCTCTCATTTTGTCTTTTTTTTCCCCCAGTGAGCAGATAGTGCATTTAATAAGTGCTGTAACTACTCAGGAACTTCTACAAAGTGTGAATAATTCTGTGGAAAGATTTGCTAATCAAAAATGTTCTAGGGTTTTTAAAAAAGTATTGGGGGTGGGGCCTGGGGGTGGGTGTGGTATAGGGACAGCCATCTGAAGGGGTGTGAACCAGTACCCCTAGCCCATGTATGGTGTTTTGAACCAGCATTTCTGCAATTTTAAAAATCATGCAGTTAAAAAAAAAAAAAGACAGTAGCGTTCAAAATGAAAAAAAAAAAATCATGCAGTTAAAAATGAACACATAGGCCCTCCCTGTGGTGCAGCAGGTTAAAGCACAACACTAAGAAGCTAAAGCCACTTCAGCATGAGTTCGAACTCTGCCTGCCCTGGAGGAGATCCACATGGCGTGGCAGACCTCTCCTGACCCACCCACTGCTCCCCTCAGCAGTGTACTTCATTGATTTGCCTGTTCTGCTCCCCACTCTGAATCCTCTTGCCACCCCTGCACCTCTGACCTGTACCCCAGTTCTGTATGCATAAATCTTTAAAAAAAAAAAAGAAAGAAAGAAAGAACACGTAGCCCTCCCTTGTGGCAAGCTCACTGTAGCCGCTTTACTGTGATTTTTGATTCCCCCTCCCCCCCAGGAGGTGACCTACATGGCGTGGCAGACCTCTCCTGACCTGCTGGCTACTCCCCTCAGCAGTGTACTTTGTCGGATCTGCGTGTTCTGCTCCCCACTCTGTCTCTGGTGAGTCCTCTCACCACCCCTGCACCTCTGGCCAGTACCCCAGTTCTGCATGCATAAACAAATAAAAAAAAATCTTTAAAAACAAATGAACACGTAATGTCAGTGTTGCATTTCTTTTAAAACTGCACTGTCGATCACATTGCCTCTGTTGGCATCTTCTTTCTTTAATTTTCAAAAGATTTTGCTATCCATACATAGTAGGTAGTATATTTAACAAGGTGGTAATAAATGTAAATTCATCAATTAAAATTTTTTTTTTTAAAGATTTATTTATTTATGCCCACAAGAGCTGGGGTGCAGACCAGAGGTGCTGGGGGTGATAGGACAGTCGGGAGCAGAACAGGCAGGTCTACTGAAATACACTGCTCAGGGGAACAGTGGGCAGGTCAGGAGAGGTCTGCTGTACCATGTGGGTAAGCTCCCTGGCTGGGACTCAAACTCATGCTACAGTGGCTGCAGATAGCTTCACAATGATGTGCTTTAACCCAATGCGCCGCCAGGGTGGGTCCCCTCAATTAAAATCCTTAACATGAATTCCTTATAATAATGATCACAGTCATCCTATGTAATTGAGTCAGCTGAGTCTTGGCTGTGTTGATAGGTAAGTTTTTAGAGAAGCTTTATCAGTTGACAATGCATCTTCCTGACTTCCTCTCCTGTTGAACTCTCCTCTGACTGAGCACGCTGTCAGAGGACTTGGGAAACTGGCCCTCAGAAGGTTGGGGGACAACCCATAGACCCCGATTGGAAACCAAATCACCAACAAGCCTTTTTTTCCCTAGGGTCACAGGGCCTATGGGCAGGTTGATTCCTTCTGTGGGACATAGAGCACATCTCTGATTCTCCCCAAAGACCTGACCTACAAGG